ATGTAGACCCACAGTTTTAGATAACTGTTGTTAGGTGTTGTCTGCTTGACCTGACCCTACTAACAGATCTGAACCCTCTCCTATCCGGTGCCATCCTCACAATCTCTAAACTACCTGATTTCGTTGCTGCAGTCACTGTTTTAGATAATAAAAGTATTATGAAAGTATTATCTAAAATGCTTTTATAATCTAAAAGTTTTTTAGATAATACTTAAATATTAAATTATAAAAGTATTATCTAAAATACTTTCATAGTCTAAATGTTTTTTAGATAATACTTCAAGGGTTGTTGTTGTTGTTTGTTTGTTTTTCTTTAATATATAAAGAGAAATAAGATACCAGTAAAACAGGTACCAAGGAACTGTGTCTGCATGATACTTTGGGGCTGCAGTTTGACTCACTCACTATCCAGTGTACTGGAGAAAGGCAAACATCCTCCTCCCAGTAACATTACAACCTCAGAAACCTGGTGGAAGCCATAGTGAGCTGGAATCCACTTGATAGCAAGAAGTTTGATGATTTTTTTTGTTTTAAATTACAGGTGCCACTAACTTTCACAAACTCTTCCACCTTCCAACCCACCCCTACCACTACCATTTAGAGATTCTTAGAAGGCACAGCTTTCTAGTGCTTCCATATTCTCACTCTTCATGAGATTTTAGTTCAAAAAACTCAAACGCATTGCCATGGATTTGATTCCAGTTCACAGTAACCCTCTACTGGGTTTCCAAAGCTTAACATCTTAACGAGAGGAGACTGCTCCTCTTTCTTCTGTGGACCCTGTGGGGAATTCAGATTGTAGGACTTTCTCAGGCTTTGGATTAGCTGCAAAACTCTCCATAGACTATGCCAGCAGTTGTTGCTGTTGTTAGGTGCCGTCGAGTCGACTGCTGCTCATAGCAACCCTGTGAACAACATGAACCTTGTCCTATCCTGCGCCATCGTAACCACCACCATCATACTCAAGCCATTGTTATAGTCACTGTGTCAATCCGTCTCACTGAAGGCCTTCTTTTCTCTGACCCTCTACCTTTCCCAGCTTGAAGTCTCTTTGCAAGGACTAGTTTCTCCTGAGCTCCCCATAAAGATATCAGACTCTAGCATTCTGCTGTGAGATTGACCAAGAAGCTCATCTGGGAGACTGATCCTGATTAAATAAAAGGAAGAGCTACCAGTCTAGCAGTGCCTTAGAAGACAGAGAGACTGTCTGCATAGACTTGCACATTCCAGGAATGATTCCTCACCTGGAGGTCCACACTGGTTTCTGACTAAGAAATTGGCTTAACTGAGAATCACATCCTGAGAGCTACCAAAAAGCTGGATCCATAGCCAGCTGTGAAAGGAGTCACATTCTGCAGGATATAATCAGTGACATCACAGCACATAAGAGGAATATATACTTGCACAGTCCAACTGTCCCGAAGAAAAGGCCTCTAAATACTGACAGCAATGGCAGGAGTGGTGGCAGAGGCCAAATGCCCAAATTGTGTGGATCTTCTGAAAGATCCCGTCACCACTAAGTGTGGACACAACTTCTGCCGATCCTGCATCCAGAAGTCATGGGAGGATAAACGTAACAGGATCTCTTGCCCATTGTGTGAACAACTATATCAAGATAAAATATTAAAGCAGAACAATCAGCTGAGAAATATATTGTATGAAGCCAAATTATACCCCTTCAGCATGGAAATGAAGAAGAAAAAGACATCTCAGTGCAAGAAACACAAGCAGGTCCTGAACTTTTTCTGTGAGGATGACCACAGGTGCTGTGTGACCTCTGCACCAGGGTCCACCGGAGTTGCCATGTGAAACCCCTAAAGGAGATTGCCTCTCATCACAGAAAATGGATCATGGTTTGCATGGCTACTCTGAGGAATCAATTGGAAGGCTGTACAAACTCCCATGCCTTTCAAGAGAAAAAAGTAAAACGAGTGAGAGCATTACAAAGGTGTGGCATAAATTAAATTATGAGTGAAAACACATGAATCACATTTTAGAAGGGCAGCAGAGCACCTGTGTCTCTAGGTCAGCTTATGTATTAGAGCGTATTAAACACAAAATGCATAAAGAAGCACGTTCAAACTATATTTCTATACACAGATGTCTAAAATAAGAAGTGGCAGAGAGAAGTGTGATGATGGACAATATGAAATTGCTGACGGGCATCAAGAACATCTATAATGTGTGTGAAAACCCCACCCCTCCATCTTCCTCTTCCATCCAGTTAAGGGAAATAGAAGCCAATCTTCCCCCATTTTTCAAGCCTCTGAAGAAAATGAAGGCTTTTAAAAGAGATGTGACTCTGGATCCTGAAACAGCACATCCCAGCCTTCTAATATCTGAAGATAAGAAGTCAGTGAGATTTGTGATGAAAAAGGAAATACTTCTTCCTACTCTGAAGAGATTTAGCACTTTCCCACTGGTCCTGGGATCTGAAGGCTTCGATTCAGGCAGGCATTACTGGGAAGTGAGAGTGAATGACAAGCCTGAATGGATGGTGGGGGTTTGTGAAGAACCTCTTTTCAGAAAGGATAACCCAAACTTAACAGGACAGAATGGATACTGGACGATTCAGCTCTCCAATGATATGCATGTTGCACAAAGCTTTGTTTCAGTCCACCTTGAGTTAACAACAAAACCTCGAGGTATAGGCATTTATCTGGACTATGAACTAGGTGAAATTTCCTTTTACAATTTAAATACAAACTCACACATACATTCATTTTTTCATGGATTTTCTGGAATACTCAAGCCTTATTGTTATGTTGGAAGGGATCCTAAATCTCTAACAATCTGCAGAGATGATGAATGATAAACTCTCAGAAGGGTAATTAGCTTTCTTTAAAATTTTTGTTTTATATTGGTTTGTGTATACAGTTTGAATGTATTGTGTAATATGCTCCAGTATCTTCCAAATTATGAACTATTTTTTTTAAATTGTTGCTTCTGAGTATAAACACTGGTTTATGAATCTCCGTTTGTGTCTCAATTCTAATTTCCTTGGAGTAAATTTCCAGTAATGGAATAGCTGGGTCATACAGAGTTTCTATGTTCAATAACTTATTTTTTGCCACAGAAATTTTTGCCCTGCATTTATATTTGACTTATTTTAATGATGTGAGGAAAGTTTCTACCATAATGTAATAGCAGTAGTTGATTTTAGATTGCACATATGTATGAATTAACAGAAATGATAATGAAAATGATAATTAAATGTATATAACTGTAATTTCATTCTCCAATAAATGGATTTTGGATATTAAAAAAAAAAAATCAGACTCAGACCTGCCTAGCAAATTCACTTCCAAATGAGTAGCAAGCGCTCTTACTGGCCTCATTTGCTTTTCACATCAAGATCTACAGAAAATCCCCAACAAAACTAGTGAATGCTTCATCTCAGCCCAGGTTGGAGAGCAGGCTGTTGCCCATGTGCAAACATCTCACTGATGGAAAACTCCAGCACGATTAAACCTACCCCTACTCAAAACAAATTCATCCTCCTTGTCACCTACAGTTGCAGTACATTCCACTTTTAAACAATAATAATAAAAGCTAATAGTCTTTCATTGCATTATAGCAGAGCCAAAGAATAACACCATGCACCTATTTTGACCCACCCATAAAAGACATAATTAGGTAGTAATTTACAAAATTCCTTGCTTCTGCATGCTGCATGGCATTCCATTGTGTGAATGTACCTTTGAATGTCAATTTGAACATTATGCTAAATGAACTAACTCAGGCCCATAAGGACAAATACTGTATAACACCATTATTGTAGAATGAGTATGAGGATCCAAGGAAGGGGGTAGAAGCAGAGGGGTGAGGATGGGTGGGGAGGAGGGGTCAATCATAGGGTCATACAATTTGATGAGGAGAGGGGGTGAAGGAAATGGGAAAGATCTGGTGCGGAAAAACAATGTATTTGAACTCTAAGTAAACCAGTATGAAATAATTTCTTTTAAATTTTTTTAATTAATTTTCATTAAAGTTTACAGAGACTTAGGGTTTCCATTCAATCATTGTTACACTTTTCTCCCTGCCCACCACCCTCCACCCCTAGTTCACTCTTCTCTTTGAAAAGTAAAAATCTTTCATTGTTATACAATCCCTCTCCCCAAGTCCACTTCACTGTGCAGCCTTTGTTCTGGACTCCTGTCATGACAAAAAGACATACTTAGAACAGATCTTGTTCAAAACCTGGGGATTGTGTGTAATGCTCTTACAATGACATGCACATGTTTTAATTAAGTATAAGAAGAAAACAGAAACTGTAGGATGGGGGCAATAAAGCATTTTGGACATTCCAGGGTACCTTTGGCTCTTGCCATTCCTGTAGCTACCTTTTTCTCCACCGTTTCTTATTCTCTCCCCTCCTCCATCTCCCATCCTATTCATTCACTTCTTAAATTGTTAGTTGCTGTTATTAAAACCTCTAATAGTCTATAAGACAGAATCTGATCAATGGCAGCAATTCCATCATTTTTATTTTGAAAGAAAATGTGGCCTGTCAATTCTCTTAGTGCAATGTTACAATGTTGTTGTTGTTGTTGTTTGTTGTTGTTAGGTGTCATCAAGTTTGCTTTGACCCATGGCGACCCTATGAACAAAAGAACAGGACCCTGTTCTATCCTCCACCATCCTCACACTTTCTGACACACAGAGCCCATTGCAACAGTCACTGTGTCAATCCACCTGGTTGAGGGCCTTCCTCTTCTTCACCGACCCTCCACCCTTACCAACCCCTCCACCCTTTCCAGCCTCGGGTTCTTCTCCAAGGAATAGACTTTCCTAACAACATGCCCAAAGGATGTGGGCAATACTGTCTAATAATTTTGTTGAATACTGTCTAACTGTTGGGGACTTCTTAGTATTTAAAAAAGTTATAATTTTTAAAAATTTATAATTTTTGTTCATTAAAATAGATTTTAAATGCTATTATTAGATAAGATACATGGATACTCAACTGCATCACAAACACTCTTTTTTTCCCCCCCCAGGTACCGAGCAGTTGCCTCCTGGAGCCGTGTTCAGGGAATTGGGATTCCCTTGGTCACCGCCATCGAAATTGTCTCCATCTGGGTCCTGTCCTTCATCCTGGCCATCCCTGAGGCAATCGGCTTCGTCATGGTGCCCTTTGAATACAAGGGTGAACAACACAAAACTTGCATGCTCAATGCCACATCAAAATTCATAGAGGTACTAACAGTTTACAAAGAATGAACTGGAAAGGAGCAAAGTTTTCTTTATTCTTCACCATCTTAAGACCTCTCCATAATGCCAAATGTCATTTACTCTGTCAGTTTAGTCAAATACCAGTTGCATAAAAGGTACATGTAAAGTCAGTATTTAGCTTCTTGACAAGAAGTCAATTGAGTAATTTTTTTTTGCTCTTATATTGATAATCATGTAGAAACAACTATTCTTTCTTTCTTGAACAACTACAAATTCTGAAACAAATTTACTAAGAGGAATTTGAGTATGTAAATATATATAGTATTTATTCTTATGATAAGAAGTGTAACATCTAACACTGCATGCTGACATTTATTTGAATTACGTAGGTAATGTGTCTTTCTCCTTCTTAGAGCAGGGTTTACTAACTAAAAGAAAGATGCTTATTTAGAGACTTATAAGAGCCTACGATGTGTGTCATGTAAAACTGCTGAGCTTTTTTAAAAAGGTGTTTTTGTTTATTAAGTTTCGTAGTGTCTGTTGTTTTAGTGTCCCTAATCACATTAATGTGTCGGGTTTTGGTTTGTTGTGGTTTTGTTTTTTGTTTTGTTTCTGAAAAGCTTAGTCACATGGCTGATTGTATTAGGAAATATATTTAAAATGCATATTTCATTTGCAAAACAAGTTACATGTGGACTGAGGAAGAAAACCAAAAGGATAACTATTTCACTTAACACAACATATTTCAGTGCTTTGATGTGAGTTTTCACACAGCTCAGGTTCCACATTTAATCATTTACAGACAGCTCAAGGTATGTTCTCTTAACATGGAAAACTCACAGAATCAGGGCTTGTTGAGTTGACCAGTTGTCCTGCTTAGAAATTCTTTTTTTTTAAAGTAAAAGTGCTCAAGGGATCTGCCAAACTGGCATCCTTAAAATTGAAATCTTATGACTTTTTTAACACAGTGAAAAACAAAATCGATAGCAGGAATTTACCAGAATTCGGGGAAATATTCCAGAGTGAAACAATAGTGAATAAAATTCAACATAAGATGTTGTTGTTATTATGTGCCATGGAGTCACCTGGGACTCATAGCGACTCTGTGCACAATAGCTCTGAACACTGCCCTATCCTGAGCCAGTCTCAGTGTCTCCAGCACACCTAACCCCTTTATCCCAATTACAGGGTCAGTCCATCTCATCAATATCAGAAGGAGCTTACAAATCACTGGAGACCAGATGGAATGAAATGGGTCACTTTATGAAGATTAAGTCTCCTTTCTAGAATGTTCAAGCAAAGCATGGCTACCCTGCAGGCAGGGGTATACCTGCAGGACGCAGTAAAATGTTGAAGGTTGAACTGATAATTTTTAGATTTTATTCTGAGTTTAAAATATTTTCACTTTCCTTCTTTCTCCTCTTAGTTTTCTGAATTTATTTTTCCCTTACTTTTCTACACTTTTCAATTTTATTCTAACTTGAACTTATGGTGAGTTGTCTCTATACTGTTGCTTTTGACATCAGATCAGAAGATACATATGACCTTCTTTTGCCAGGCTTATAATGCTGAGATGGAAACTCCAGCCAGTCCTCGGTCCACTCCTAGCCTCTCTGCAGCTGCTTCTGGGTCAAAGGACCAGGAAGAAAAAGAACACAAAGAAGGGAACTGTTTAAAAAAGTTTTTGTGTTGTTGTTGATACTACATATTTTAAAAAAGAGAGATTTTAGGGTATTATAATTAATGATAGAAAACAAAATGTTTATGAGTAATTGAACAAAAGGCCAATTTGTTTTGTGAACATTCACTCAAATCACAATTTTTAAGTTCTCCCTCCTGCTAAAAAAGTTTCAAAAGAGTAAGAAGTAAAGCCCTTTCTGAACTTTCTTTTTCTGTGTGTGTGTAATTTAATTTTTTTTCTATAGAATGATATGGATAGGGAATTATTTGTATTAACAAATTTGAACAAACCAATTCCTTTGAGAGCTGGCACTTAATCTGAGGACAGGAGCCTATGAATTTGAATAGGAAAAAGTTTATTTTCACCAAATTGTAACTGCAATGTATCATACCCTTCTATGATCAAGGCAGGCAATTAAACACCACAATGCTTATCATGACCTATGACTTTTCCACTACTAGAAATCACAGACATTTCCATACAGGCAGGACAACTGTTTAGACTCTCAAATAGATTATTCATTCTCATTCTGACTTCGATAGTTTGACCATAATTACAATTACTTTTAGATGTGGGGTTTCTTTTTACTTAATTTGTTAGTAAAGAAGCACCTATAGTATTACAACAGTCCAGAATAAAAGGTACATTGCAAAGTCTACCTGGTGGCAGGGGAGAGAAAGGAAATTGTGCAACAATAAATTAATATTTTAAAAAAAAAGAAAGTAAACTGGAGGAGGGAGAAGGAGAGTGAGGGAGAAAAATGTGCTTCAGTAAATGAATGAAAATACAACTTTTCTGTAAACTTCCTTTAAAATCACAATTAAAAAATTTTATTAAAAGAAGCACATGCATTACTAGAGCATAATTTTATTTTTAATATTTTAATAACTATGTTTCAATGCAGTTGGTTCCCTTTGTAATCCTAGATATTTTATTTTATGCATATAAAAGCATGAGTCTCGGGATTATAGTCTTCATCAGACTTCTAAAGAGATTGTGGTATAATAATAGTAAGGAACCTTTGCTGAGGACATTTTTTCTTTACATTTACATTTGTGGATTATCTTAATAGATATGTAACTAATGTAGCCCAGTGGGTCTCTTTCTGTATTCAGAAACTAATCGGGTTTTTGCCTCACAACCTAACTTTTTACTGTCAAGGCTGAGTTATTACAGTAGGCTGCCTTATCCTTAGTAAACAAGCAAGCTGGAGAAACATATTAGGGAGAAAAAAAGGGTATTTCTTACTCAAGTCAGTAATCAATTTAGTGTGAGAAAGACTGTATCTATTGTTTTGCAATGTTAATTTTAATAGTGTAGGAAGGGTTCCCCTTATTTAAACAAAAAAAAAAAACAACAAAAAAACACCAAGCTAACAAAATACCAAGTAGAAAGTTAAATAATCCTGATATTTACAAATCCTGCCCACAGGGAAATAATGCTAAATATGCCTCCAGATAAGAGATTTGGGCTTTATGGTTTCCAGGTGGTAAGTATTAGGAGCAAGGGATATACTACAGTTATTTATGGCTGGAATGCCTGGCTGCGAGGTCACATAGCAAGCATACCAGGCAAAGGGTTAACTTCCACTAACCAAAGCTACACAGATAAGCCATTCATAACCTTCACCATTTCCAAACAAGATACTAACAAGAACTCTTTAACCACAAGAGTAAAATGTAAACCAGCCACTAGCAAAATTTTGAGACTTATCAATAAATAGAGATACATATACAGTCTATGTCTCGAAAATACATTTTGGAAGCAGAAAAAATTGTTTTTGTTGATTAAAGCTCTTTCATTATGAGATTTGGACCAATTTTAGTTAAAAAGAAATATTCTAAGCAAGATTTTTTTTAAATAATTTCTTAATGTGCTATTCATAGAGTTTCAAATTTATTTGAGTTTTAAACACTCCCCTTCTTCCATGTCCCATTATTACAACCTCTAATAAATGCATTGTTATGGAGTTGGAAAGCAACTGCATAGCTGACACTCCGTTTGACTTTTGAAGACTGTAAATCACATCGGAGATTGCCTGTTTCCTAAGGAGAAGCTTGTGGATTTGAACCACCAGAGAGCAATCACCTTTGAGTTACCAGTACAACTCCCTAGCAACTGTGCCATCAGTGGGCATGAATAGAAACACATATCTGCAGTTGTAGAAGCCTTCAAGCTGCCTGAGATACTGCACATGAAACTGACATAATTAGACTTCTCTTTCTCTCTCTTTTCCTCACTTTACAGTTCTACCAAGATGTAAAAGACTGGTGGCTCTTCGGGTTCTATTTCTGCATGCCCTTAGTGTGCACTGCCATATTCTACACCCTCATGACTTGCGAGATGTTAAACAGAAGAAATGGCAGCTTGAGAATCGCACTCAGTGAACATCTTAAACAGGTAAATCTATTTGCTTTTTATGTATCAAGTGAAAATGATTCATAGCTGACTCTCCAGCAGGTTTAATCACAGTTTAATCCACACAGAGCATCCGGATTCAAGCTCCATGGCTTTGAGTTGGCATTTCATTTCCTTGCCACTAAGCCACCAATGCTTGGTACATTTAGTAGAATTGCAAAACTCTGCCTCTAATTGTTTGTCCTCCATTGAATGACTCCAAGTACTGTATCTATGGATAGGCGAGCAGATTTAGCCCAGCTTTATTTTAAAAACAACAACAAACCAACAACTTCCTTGTATTTTATTTTTATTTTCTTTATAATTATAGTCTTAGATATTTCTTTTGTGGAATGAGCCAGCCAGTAAAATGTGTAACTCGGAGGCTGGGTTCAAATAAAAAGGGATAATTTATTCATTTTTATTCATTTATTTTGCCAGGAATATAGAGAGAGAGAGTACATTGAAGTGAACTTAGAACGGTAGTACAAGGAAAAGAAGCATATTGCTGGCTGTCTTGGAGGCCTCGCAGTCTTGTGGACATAAAGCACAAACATGACCAAGTGGAAAATAAAACCACAGGTGTGGTAAATGAAACCCTTTTCTAGGAAGCCAGAGGAGAGATGAGCTGGGGGCATGTTCATGGGTGAGGGGAACTGAACAGGGCCTGAGAGGGTAAACAAGATCTGATGAGTGAAGAAGACAGAGCGTTCCAGGTGAGAGAATAGGCATCCCTTTACAACACAGAGTAAACTTCACACTTTTGTGAAGTGATGACAAAGAGATGAATTTGATGAGAGGGAACATCTGAGAGAAGAGGCCAGGTTAGATAGTGTGTCGGGCTGCTAACAAAAGTTTTAAGCTTCAAATTCCCCAGGCACTCCTTAGAAGAAAGAGAGACAGTCTCCTCTTGTAAGATGTACAGTTTCAGAAACACAACAGAGCATAGCTGTAAATAAGAACCAACTCTATGTCTATAGGTATAAAAAAGAGCAAGGGCTGCATGGGAACAGCCATATCTGACCTTTACCAAATCCACAATAAGGAACTGTCTCCACCAACATCACACAATCTATTCCCATGAGGTCAAATATGTCCCCCATGCTCCCACACCTCTTTGTACTTATTCCAACACCACTATTACTGCTTTACTGTGTACAAAATCTGATACAATAGCTCACAGACCACATAGACTGTATTATTATATAGATGCCATCAAGTCGAGTACAACACATAGCAACCCCATTAATGATAAATCTAGACCCCATACTATTCTGCACCCATCTCACAATCTCTGACACACTCAAACCCTTGGCTGCAGTCACTGTGTCAATCTACCTGATTGAGAGTCTTCTCTCCTTCACCATCCCTCCACCTTTCCAAGTATAATGTCCTTCTCCAAGAAAGAGCCTCTCTTAACAACATGCCTGAAGTATACAAGACAGTGCCTCACTATCCTGTTTCCAAGGAGCAATCTGGCTTCACCCTCTCCACCCTCTGTTTGTTCTCTAGACATTTAATTGGATATTCAGTACTTTCCTCCAACACCACAACACAAAAGCATCAAGTTTTCTTCTGTAATCCTTATTCATTGTCCAGTTCTCAGAGACATAGAAGATCATTGAAAAGACTGAATCTCAGTCCTAAAACTGGCATCATGCAGTAATTTGAAGAGGTCCCTTACTGCAGACTTTTTTTTTCACTGCAGACTTTTCCAATGCAGTACATCTCCTGATATCCTGAGAGCTAAGCCAGGTGTACTTATTATGAATCCAAGTAAGATAAAGTCATTGACTCTCCAGAATCCTTTCAGGGAACTCAAAAGGCTATAACTCAGGTTAGTAGTAGAGCGCTTGCTACAGAAGGTCAAGGACTGCAGCCTTCAATACAGATTAACGCTCAACATCAAGAAAATAAAGATTCTCACCACTGTGCCAATTGGCAACATAATAATAGTTGATGAAGAGAACTGAGACTGTTAACAGCTATAGTTTGCATGGCTCCGCAATCAACACTCTTGGTACCAGCAGCCAGGAAATCAAAAGACGAGTTACATTGGGAAAGTCTGCTGTCAGGGACCTCTCCAGAGTACCGAAGAGCAATAATGTCAGTTTGGAGACTAAGGTGAGTCTGATCCAGGACATAGTCTTTGCAATTGCTTGCTATGCATCAGAAAGCTGGACAATGACTAGGAATGATAGAAAGATAATTGATGCCTTTGAATCTTGAATATACCATGGACTGCTAGGAGAACAAACAGATTTGTCCTAGAGAGGGTGAAACCAGACTGCTCCTTGGAGGCAAGGATTCTGAGGCTTCATCTGACATGCTTTGGACATGTTGCAAGGAGGGACCAGTCCTTGGAGAGGGACATCATGCTGGGGAGGATGGAGGGACAGTGCAAGAAAGGAAGACCCTTGATGAGATGGATTGATTCAGTGACTGGGGTAATGAGAGTAGGTGTGTCAGAGACAGTAAAGTTGGCACAAGATAGAGCAAGTTTCAGGGGTACTGTGTATATGGTCACTATGAGTCACAAGCATGGAACATAAAAACAGCAGCAGAGTCTAGTCAGGACAGTTTCTGAATTGTTCTTGCGGACACCTCTACTTTGAGCCTCACAGCTTTAGGCCAGTGTTACAAAGCTCTCAGTACTGCCAATAAGGACTCTCTGCCTACCAGGCCTCTAACAAGCTTGGGCAAAAGGCTCTTAGGTCTGGTTCATTAGCACAACAGTCCCAAGGTCAACTCTACCTCATGTCAGGTGTCTAGTTCTCCACTGTGGCTGCTATGACACTGCTCCCATATATAAGCCCTTGTCTGGCTGGCACAAGAATCTCTGGCCCTGAAGGACATGCAGCATTTGCTTGCTTCTTTTTTGCTGGTGAGAAAGTTTCTCCAATTCTGCTGCTATATCTGCTCAATTTAATGGTGAGACTAGCCAATCCCATTGTGGATGGGCTAATACACCCTATTTGCATATCTCCACACATGGCAAAGTAAGTCAGTGGATAAAGAAGGCATTTTGAACAGTAAACCCTTAACACCACAATGGGATTGGTTGTAGTTTTAAGTTCTAACAGTTGTTGCTAATCCAGCAAAAGGAAACTGCCCATCTTTCTGCCCAGTGATTAAGCACTTGGCTGTCAACTGTAAGGTCATCAGGTCAAAACCAGGGTTTGGAACCAGTTCATTCTAGTTCAGTGCCCTGCTCAAGATTATCATGTCTACTGCAGTCTTCAATATGGATTGAAGCTCAATGTCAAGAAAGCAAAGGTTCTTACCACTGGACTATTTGGCAGCACCATAATAGATGGAAAAGAGATTGAGATTGTTAAACATTTCAGCTTGCTTAGATCCATAATCAACACTCTTGAAACCAGTAGCCAGGGAAAACAAAAGGCAAGTTAGATTAGGAAAGTCTGCTGTCAAGGAACCTCTCTAGAGTGCTGAAGTGCAAAGATGTCAGTCTAGAAACTAAGGTGTACCTGATCCAGGCCATGATCTTTGCAAGTACTTGCTATGCATCAGAGAGCTGAACAATGACCAAAGAGGACAGAAGAAGAATTGATGCCTTTCATTGTGTTGCAAAAGAGTATTGAACACTGCCAAGAGAACAAGCAGGTCTGACCTGGAGAGGCTGAAAGCAAGTTGCTCTCTAGAGGAAAGGGTTTTGAAGCTTCATCTCACATACTTTGGGCATGTAGCCAGGAGGGACCAGCCCTTAGAGAAGGACATCGTGCTTGGAAAGGTGGTGGGATAACACAGGAGAGGAAGACCCTGAATGTGATGGATTGACACAGTAACTGAGGTAATAGGGGCAGGTGTGTCAGAGACAGTGAGATTGGCTCAGGATATGATGGTGTTCGGTCACCATGAGTCACAGGTGACTTGATGGCACATAACAACAACAACCCAAGATATGCTCAATCAGAGTCCACTTTTTAACAAGGTCCCCAGATACCTGGGGGATCAATATGATTTGAGTATTTCCATAAGAATTACAGAATTGAAAACTGAGAACTGTGTAGAGTAGTTCTACTCTGTCTTACAGGGTCATTAAGAGTCAGAATCAACTCAAAAGGCAATAAGAAATCCTAAAAGTTTGACATATCAGTTGGAAATTTTGTAGATCCCTTAAGGACAGCATAAAAGCAGAGAAAGCTGTTAGCTTTAAAGGGCAAAACTTGGCTCTTTTATTAGCTGGCTCTGTGACTTACGTTACTCAACCTTCTGTCCTTCTTTAATCTATTTTTTTAAGAAAACTGTATGTGATAAGATGGACCTAGTAACCTATGAGTTGCTATCGTGATAAGAATAAATTAATGTATATGCATATGCTTTGTAAAGCCTAATAATATACCATACAATCATTTGCTATTTTAAAAAATTTAACAAAAAAACTATGCTGAAAAACGTTCTTTAGAATGTAATGCTTCAGGTACTCCTGATTGATATAAGCAATATTCAGTAACTATTATCTCTCTTTCCTGCAATAGAAATGAGAAACTAGAATGTATATTGTTTTATAAATACAAATAGAAAAGCAGTGTGTTTTAAGTCCTAACTTTGACATGAGCCTCTTTAAGGGGTAAATGGCACTTGCACTGAAAAAGAATTAAGTGACAGATGAAAATAATGACAATGCTACTTCACAATGACATTACATTCTCTATGTTTTCAAAGCATTTGTTTATGAAAAAGTTCTGTCTCAGGATTGAAAAACCAAAAAGGACTTTCTTTATGTACTATATATTATTCACTGTTGCCCTACACCCCTAGGAAGTAGGGAGACCAACATTGTCTTCATTATACCGCAGGATTAAGAGGTTTTTTCAACCTCTCACGGAGATGATAGCCCAGGCCTGGAACCCTCATGTCGTCCCTGTTCCCTTACTGTATACTCAGAATTGCAATGGGTCCTGACAGTCCAAGAGGGAACGTGGCTGGGGTACCTTGAACTAAGACTAGAGAGGAGCTCGCTCCCTGCCCGCTGTCTTGTTTCTGAGGCTGTAAATTGTAATGAGAGGAAATGGCCCATCTTTTCTCCCACGGAGCCTCTGGTAGGTTAAAATCGATGGTGATGTGCAGCCTTTGGGTTAGCAGTGCAGCTCGCTGTAAACTATGCCACCAGCAGACTAAGATTCCATATTGCCCTTGCTCTTGCTTCTCATGTGATTTTCTCTCATTACTCTTGGCCACAACTTGATTAGTTAGAGATTTTTATCTGTACATTGGTAACAGAATGCCCATAAAAACAATTCTTGGTCCAAACAGAGATTTTTCTTTCTCACAAAACAGTAAAGGTAACATTGGCTCAGTGGTCAAGAAAGTCATCAGCCAGCTGTCCATCATTTTGCTGTAATGCCTTCAGTATTATAACAGGGCAGCTGCCACTCAATTCCTTTTCTGACTTCTCAGTAGCAGAAAGAGAACATCAGACACATTATTGTGTGCACCAGATCAGTTCCTTCAATACCCACACAAGCACACACACAAAAATCTTACTGTTACCTAGTTGATTCTTACTCATGGTAGGACAGAGCATAAATCTCTGAAGCATTTTCAAGACTGTCAGTCTTTACAGAAACAGCTCAGTCCATCAACTTTGAGGTTAGCAGCCTAAAGTTCCAGCAGCCACAGCACCACTGAGGCCCTCCCAATTTTAAATAGCTTTTCAAAGAGGGGGGAAACCCAGCCCACACCCATATAACAGTTTCTACTTAATCTAATTGTCATACTGGGTCTCTAAACTATTTAGATGATTAGGCAACACCTCAGAAGACAGGAGAATGAATGACTGACTATAGACTAGGAAGATATCAGACTCTCATGGTAACATAGTAATGTTGCTTAACTTGTCTCCTCATTTCATCACATCTTCATGTACAACAGAACAAAATATACGAGGGTCTTAGACCATCCACATGGTTTTCATTAACTGGATCTTGGAAGTAGATCACTAGACCATTCTTCCTAGTATAGAAACTTTGATAAAACCTGTTCAACGTCAACCCAAGCCTCCACAGATAGTCAGTGGCAGATGAACTTGAGCTGCTTAATCTAGGAATCAAACCTGGCTCTTCCATAAAAATGTCCAGAATTATTCTGCTAAAATCTTTGTTGCTTTGTACTGTCAAGTTGAAATCAACTCATAGCTGACCCTCAGTCAGTTTTCGGAGGCTTTTATCACATGAGTGGAGAGGTCCATCTTTTTCGTACAGAGAAGCTGGTGTATTTTAACAGCATGACTTAGGACTGACTGTGCAACTTCTTACCACTAACCCTTTAAAAAATTATCCACTTTCAGGATGTGCTCAGGGGAATTAACCTCTCCCACTATTGTTCTTCGTGCTGTGTTTCCAGAAATTCTGCTGTCTTTCTGTGTACATGTGTCTGTCTTCAAAAATCCCTCACATTCCTACAGATTAAAGTCTTCTTTTTCTCCCCATAATTGTTGTTGTGTCTGAATTATTGTTCTCTGAAATCATATGCCAAATAGCCCAGTAACTAGGAAAGGTAAAAAACTCCCAGTTCTTTGAGTTAGGGTAGCTATATGTGCCAAGTGCCCTAGCACCTTCCTAAATAGCACTATTAATCATGCAGATTTATTGCAGATTTCTCACACTTAATGTCATACGGCTCAGGGTGAACCACCATTATGCTTTCAAACCCTGTTTTCAATCAGGTTTCTTTTGACATCAGCTGATTCCAATTATAGACAAGTTGCATTTTATATTTCCAAATAGCCTCCTAAATGATTGCATTACGATACTTGAGCACCATGTACACAAATGAATGGGTGCAGGTAATGCTTAACCTAGAGTTTTTCTGATCCTGCATGTAAACTTTGAATGGAAGTCAGTCGAAGGTCAGCTTTTCTCCATTTTTGAAGTCATAGTTACTGAAAATCTTTTATGCAAGAGCTTTTTTTTGCAACCATATATTTGGACATTACATACCATTCATTAATCAGAGAATCTTTACAATAAAAGGATACCAGTGGACACTTTTCTCAAGATGAGAAAGTGGAGGAAACATGACATTGTCGCTCTTTATGTGCCTCACTCTGGTTTTGTTTTCCACACACACTTGGCAGATAGTATGTTCCTTCATCTTGCCTCCTGTGCCATCATTAATGCCGTTTTTGTCAATTCAGACTCATTAAAAACCCATATGACAGAATAAAAGTGTCCAATACTGTTTCTTGGCTATATAATCTTTATAGGTCTTGCTCTCACAGAGCCAGAAGGTGGAATCAAATTGCCAACATTTTCATCAGCAGGTGACCACTTAATCATCATGATGCCAGGGATCCCTTTTGTTTACTAAGTGCTATTTTGTCCTTCTGGTTGCCTAGTACGTAGGGAGTTGTACTGCCAACCCAAAGGTGGGAGGTTCAAATCCACCAGCTTCTTCAAGAGAGAAAGATGGATTATCTCCTGTGTGATTACAGCCTTTGAAAACCTGCTGGTGGATCAGCTCTGGATTGGTTCTGACTTAACAGCAAAGAATAAGTAACTGAGTTCCTGTGATTTTTTAGTTAATTCCTTCCCCGCACATACACACAACTCAGCCACAATATAGGTTCATCTCTCACTAACCTGCAGTCACCATTCTGCACAATAGTGACCCAAAAGCATTATCACCAATTCCTTGGTTAGGAAGTTGAACCAAGACTCTGTATAATTGGACACAGCACTATGAGGCTGGCCATTCTCTAGTTTCCCTGTGGTTCTTTCCATGTTACCTCCCACCTCCTGAGTGTACAGTTCTTTGATTTAACATAAAGACAGTAAATTTAATGTTCTTTTCTCTCTCTCCTTCCTTTAGCGTCGCGAGGTGGCAAAAACGGTTTTCTGCTTGGTTGTCATTTTCGCTCTTTGCTGGTTCCCTCTTCATTTAAGTCGTATTTTGAAGAAAACTGTGTATGATGAAATGGACAAGAACCGATGTGAATTACTTAGGTATGAATGACCCCATTTACCCATTAGGAATTGAAGTTTCCTAGATTTTCACATTTGTCATTTTTTTTAAAAATCATAGACTCTTGTTAGCTATGAAAATAAAATTGAAAAATCGGTTCTTCATAGCCAATATGCGTTCCCAGAATTTAGGAAAGCCCTTGCTTTCTGTCCTTGCCATGCAACCTATGAGGCTGAGCATAAAGGTTTTAGCTAATCAAATGACTGATATATCTGTAGACAAGGCACATGGCAAAACTTAAACTGCCATTTAAACAAGCATCACTTAAAAAGACAAAAGCTTCCTGTAAGAAATGACATGTGGGGCAATAAAGAATTCACAAAACATGGATGAATCTAGAGGATATTATGCTGAGTGTAGTAAGTCAGTAATAAATGAGATGTTTATCCATGGAATCATTCTTAGGTGGTTACAAGGATGGGAAGGGCAGTAATGGGGAATGAAAATTAGAAGTAGATGATATACAATTATTACTATGGCTGGAGGGAAAGGTAATATACAGTAAGGGTATAATCAATACGATATCACTAACAAAAGGAAAGATGTGGAGAGGTATAGAAGGAGTCATGGAAATAAGAATTCTAGAAAATAAGTTGAGGGGAATGTGATTGCATTGGGGGTTTTGAAAGTAATATTATAATGTGTATGAAAGGTTGAATTAACAATTAATTTGCTCTTTAAACAGAACTTCACTCAAATGACAATTTTAAAAAGGAATGATTGGTGAGAAAGAAATATGCTTATGCGAGGGATAAATAAAATGCTAGTTAGAAGATTTCAAAAACATCATTTTCTAATTATTCAATGTCATTTTTATTTTCTAGTTTCTTGCTGCTCATGGATTACATCGGTATTAACCTGGCAACCATGAATTCGTGCATAAACCCAATAGCTCTGTACTTTGTGAGCAAGAAATTTAAAAATTGTTTTCAAGTAAGTTTGCTATAAAACTATTTCTTTTCTTTTTTTTAAAACTAACCAAATGAGTACTGAACAGCCTCTACTGATTTCAGTGGTAAACATTCTTTTCACCAGCTGCTGGTTGGCTTAGTAGTTGAAGAATTTGGCTGCTAATTTGAAGAATTTGGCTAAAATTACAAACTTACCAGCCATACTGAAGGCATCTGCTTCTGTGGAGATGCAGCTTTGTAAATCCTTTCTACAGATCTACTTCCTCTACAGGGTTGTGATGTGTGATGGAACCAACTTGATGTCAGTGGGTTTGGTTTGGGCTTGGTGATCTTCATAGAGAAGTGGTAATCGCATTTTGTTACTCAGGATGAGGGTCAGACATATCAGCAGAAAAGAAAAGCAGTAGCAATTCAAACAGCATATTCTGAGGTTAAAATAAAAAGCTCTAAACATTTTCTTAAGTGCATGCCTATTCAGTGCTCTCTTTTAATAAGAAATGCTCTAGTATGAGCCAGTCCTTGGAGAGGGACAGCATCCTTGGGAGGGTGGAGGGACAGCACAAGAGAGGAAGACCCTGGATGAGAAAGACTGACTCAGTGACTGCAGTAATAGGGTTGGTGTGTAAGAGACAATAAAGTTGCAGGATACAGCAGGGTTCAGAGCTGTTGTGCATTAGGGTTGCCATGAGTCACAAGTGACTCTACAGTATATAACAACAACAACAACAAAGTATGAGCCCTAGGCCACAAAAATAACATGTAACCCAGGCACACCTTACATTGCCTTAGACCTTAACCAGCATCTCAACACAACCTGAACTCTGTCGATAAGAAAGTTCTAAGTGCCATTTAATAATGTATTTAATAATAGTCCCTTCCAGGAAAGTAAATGGGAAATCTGAACACATATCACTTCATTTGAAATTTGTTTCTTTATTTTCTTCAAACCTCCTTTTTGCTAAACCAATTCATGTCTTCCAAAATCTCAGTAAACTTTTCAAATGATGTGTTACTTTTCCACTTCCCTTGTATTTTTAATTTGGTCAGGATATTTAACTTTGGTTCACAGCAAGAGGTCGAGATATACTCTCTTTGTATCAAGTCTGCATGTGCTGTCTAACTCAGATCAGATTAAGATCCCTTCTGTTTCCTCAACCTCATTTCTAAAACTCTCTTTCATCTTTCTTTCCTTCCATTGGGCTTTTGTTGTTGTTGTTAAGTGCTGTTGAGTTGTAGGCGACTCATAGCAACCCTATGAACGAAAGTCCTCAACACTTGGGTGACTTTCATCCTTTCTCCAGGTTCATAGGGTTTCCAGAGGCAAGCTATTACGGAAGTGGATGCCACTCCTGCTTCCAAGCTTGTTTTAATCGGGGAGCTCCACCAAACACTGTCTGCCATGGGTAACCATTAATGCATTTGACACAACAGTGTCACAGTGTTCAGCTTCACAGCAACCACAATTTATCTCTGTACAGCAAGTGGACACACCAGAGCTATACAACCTAGGAAAATGTTTGGACTTTTAGAGGCTGTAAATCAAATAAGAGGAGATTGCCCATTTTTCTCCAAGTAGCCTGGTCGATTCAAACCACCAAAAAGGTGTGACTTTTAGGTTAGCAGCACAATTCCCTATGGATTATGCCACCAAACCTCCCTGTAAAACTAGACCACCTAATAATAAGAACTCCATTAGTAGGGTTCAATGGACTGATACATGTAAAGTGTTTGCAACAATAATATTTGCCTTGGTTACCTACTGCTGCTGTAATAGATATAACACAGGTGAGTGGCTCTAGAGAATAAAAATATGTGTCTCACTGTTCAAGAGGCTCGACATCTGAAGCCAGCATATGGCTCTAGGGGAGGGCCTTTGTCTTTTTCAGAGTCTGGTAACCAATAATCCTTACTTCCTTGATAATCTTCATGTGATGTCTCTTTCCCCTTTTGTATTTGCTTGTCTCTGTATTTAAGGGGCTCAAGTAGCGAAGTCATTAAAGAGTTTAGCTAATCATAATGTTGACAGCTTAAACCCACTGGCTGCTTCATGGGAAGAGGGGACAGGGAGGGCGGGATGGGAATGAGGCAGTCTACTTCCATAAAAATTTAGTCTTTGGAAACTGTAGTTTCTGAGGGTCACTGTGTCCTCTACTCTGTCCTACAGGGTTGCTGTGATTCAGAATCATTGCGATAATAGTGGATATTTTGGTGGGTCTTGGTTGTCTGTAAGGAGCCCTGGTGGCATATTCTATATGGAGTCTCACTGCTAACCCAAAAGTGGTTTGAGTCTACCAGGTGCTCCAAGGAAGAATGATCTCCACTGAGATCCTTGAAAAACCCAAGAGTGTTGCCTGTACTTCTCCTTATAGTTCAGAAGTGATTATGTTTAGGACATTCTTGCTTCTATCCTGATATGGCCACATTAACATACAAAAGAAAAACCCTTCGCCTAAGCGGGACTGCATTCACAGGGTTAGGATTCCCACACATATTTTCGGAGAACAAAAGTCCAACTCAAAACAGTGATCTCTATGAGTTAGTTATTATTAATGATAAAGAAGAAAAGCATTTAAGTCTCTCTGGGAATATACAAACCAACGGGAAACAGACAAATATATGAAATCTGGAATTGAAAGGTTAAATTTCCAAGTCTCTCTGGTAATGTTTGCTGCAGTTGTTGTTAGGTGCCTCGAGTTAAGTACAACTCATAACTCTGACACATTTAAGCCCATTGCTGTGTCCGTCGACCTGATTTAGGGTCTTACTATCCTTTGCCATCCACCTACCTTCCCGAAAGCATGATGCCATTCTCCAAGGAATAGCCTTTCCCAACAACATTCCCAAAATATGTTCTATCTGCCAGTGTTTACAAGTCATACTTTGAGAAGGATTGACTGACATGCCAATCATAATTGATTATATAAACTGGAACTGATCTTGTTTGCTAATTAACTTTGATAAATCCCTCTAGAGAGAAAGGGAAAAATACAAGTACAAACTCTGAGACAGTGAACATATCTTTCATTGTGATAAAGTAACATGAAATTTGCCATTTGGGCTAACTTTTAAGTATATTTTAGTGTCATTAATTATCTCCACAATGCTGTTTGTTGTTGTTGTTGTTGTTGTTATGTGCCGTTGAGTCGCTTGCGACTCATAGCGACCCTATGTACAACAGCCCTAAACCCTGCTCTATCCTGTGCCAATCACACTGCCTCTGACACTCCCATCCCGATTACCCCAGTCACTGAATCAATCCATCTCATAAAGGGCCTTCCCCTGCTGCACTGTCCCTCCACCCTCCCAAGCATGAGTCCCTCTCCAAGGACCTGTCCCTCCTTGCAACATGCCCAAAGTATGTCAGACGAAGCCCCAGAATCCTTGCCTCCAAGGAGTAGCCTGGTTTAACCCTCTCCAGGATGAATCTGTTTGTTTTCTTGGCAGTCCATGGTACATTCAATACTCTTCTCCAGCACCACAGCTCAAAGGCATCAATTCTCCTTCTATCCTCCCTAGTCATTGTCCAACTCTCTGATGCATAACAAGTGATTGCAAAAACCATGGTCTGTATCAGGTGGACCTTAGTCTCCAGTACTTTAGAGAGGTCCCTAACAGCAGACTTTGCCATCGCAACACGTTTTTTTTATTTCCTGGCTGCTGGTGCCAAGAGTATTGACCGTAGAGCCGAGCAAACTAAGGTTGTTAACAATCTCAATCTCTTCGCCATCCATCCTAATGCTACCAATTGGTCCAGTGGTGAGAATCTTTGTCTTCTTGACATTGAGCCTCAGTCCATACTGAAGGCTTCAGTCCTTGACCCTCTGCAGCAAGTGCATGAGGTCCTCCTCAGTTTCAGCGAGCAGGGTTGTGTCATCTGCATAACGCAGATTGTTGATAGATCTTCCACCAATCCTAATGCCACGCTTCTCCTCATAGAGCCCAGCCTCTCGAATAATCTGCTCTGCATACAGGTTGAAAAGGTATGGAAATAGGACACATCCCTGGCGTACACCCTTCCCAATTTTGAACCATGCAGTGTTGCCCTGCTCTGTTCTGATGACTGCCTCTTGGTCCAAGTATAGGTTTCGCATTAGCACGATTAAATGTTCTGGGATTCCCATTCTTCTCAGAGTCAACCACAGTTTGTTATGATCCACACAGTCAAATGCCTTTGCATAATCAATGAAACACAGATAGACATTCTTCTGGTATTCTCTGCTTTCAGCTGGGGTATTTTATTTTACTTTATTCCAAGCAGAAACTCTGCCTAGGCTGCACTAAATCCCCTTTCTTACCCTCCTCTTAGTCTTTTTATTTGTAATGTTGAGTTGGAACTGACTCGTTGTTGACCCTCTAATGGATTTTCAGAAGCAGAAAATCACACAGTAGGAGACTGCCCATCTTTCTCCCTTGCAGCAGCTGGTGGATTTGAACTGCATGCTTTGGGGTTGGCAGCACAACTCCTTATCACAAAGTCCCCAGTTGTTGGCAACTATCAGTCTACTTCCTGTCTCTCTGCATTTGCCTATTCTAAATATTTTGTGTAAGTTCCTACAATATTTACCTGTTGTGTCTGGTTTACTCACCTAACATAATGTTTTCAGTGTCATAGCATGTATCAGGACACTATTTCTGTTTATAGATAAATAACATTCCATTGTACATATGCCTCATTCTCTTTTGCTTGTCATCTATTGATGGACATTTGTGCTGCTTCTACCTTTTGGCAGCCATGAATGCAATCTGTGGTAGGTCTTCATAAAAACCAGCCACACATCCATAGGAAAGAGTTCAATCTAGAGAGTCCTGGGTTCAAATTCTAGCACAACTGTTATAATATTATCCTCTCTTATCTCACTGTCCTCATTTTTTTAAATGGGAGAAATAGCAGATGGGGCAGTTGTAAGGAGTTGACTACATGTCACACAAATGAAGCACCCTGAAGAAGTGTCAGTCCCCTTCTCTACCCACTCCAACTCAGGAGAGCTCTCTGCTCTGACCAACAGTGCCTTCTTTTCTTATTTCACTCAAGCAAAACAAATAAAGAACAAAACTCATTGTCATCAATTTAGAACTAACTCATAGCTTACCCTCAGCTGTGAGGATTTTCAGAGGCTGTAAATCTCCTGGGAGAAGATTACCCATATTTCTTCATTGTCCATTTTCACGTGATGGATAGAATTAAAGTGAAAGACAGTGAAATTGTATTTCTCTTGACTGGAACGAAAAAAATTAACTGGCACTTAAAGATCTTTGGGGGGGGGGGCAGGATTCCAGTAGTGTGGTGCCTTGAGTATTGTGCTAACTGAATTTGATAGTCCATCGAGATGAGCAACTTCTTTTTTTTTCTATAATTATATTTTATTAATTTTCATAAACATTTACAGAGATTTTGGGTTTCCATTCATTCATTGTTGCACTATTCTCTCTACCCTCCTCCCAGTTTGTTCTTGTCCAAATGCCACAGTGCTTGTCAAAGCCAGTTCTGATTAATCTTCTTTGTCAGTGTGTCCTTTGCCATTCCCTATCACTCCTCCCTGAGAGAGACTTCACCCTGAGTCATAAGGAAAAGGGGACGGTGTATTCTCTTAGCTACATCCTGCTGAAAAGGGACGCTGTGGGTTTCAGGGTGAAGATCTTCTCTCACTACTCTAAAGGATGAGCAACTTCTTGTAAAGATTTATAGCCTTGGAAAGCTGATGAAAGGTCGCCATGAGTTAGCACTGACTCACCGGAAGTGGGTAAAGCTTCTAAGCTCCGCACTGGCCACACATTCTTTCTTCACATGTGTGTGCACTTTTACACTTGTTGTCAGTGAGTCGAGCTCCTGTGTTCTTCTGGAAATAAGTTGGTGGGTTCAGGTTCTGAAGACTTTGTTTCTCTTCCCAGTCTTGCCTCTGCTGCTGCTGTTACCAGTCCAAAAGTCTGATGACCTCGGTCCCTATGAACGGAACAAGCATCCAGTGGAAGAGCCCTGAGCAGAACAACCACAACACTGAAAGGAGCAGCCACAAAGACAGTATAAACTAAGACTGTGAGGTGCATTCATTAGTATTCCTTCAAACCCGATTGGAGAAAAGGCACATTGCTTTTTCTGGACACCACTGTGACTCCAGAACGCTTCTCTCTGAACTTTCCTCTCCCTTAGCTCAGTTCCATATCCTGGGGAAAAAAAGAATGCTTCCAAAATATTATGGGTTGAGCAGATTATGCCTGAAAATTCTAAGCATCTTACGTCTTCCACTTAATTTCTATGTTCTGCATGTCATACTCAGCACTTAAATGAGTGGAAGTGGAGAGGGGATAAGAGAGGAAGAGGCTGCTAAATTAAAACAGAAAGATATTTACTATGTCTGCATCAATACAGAGTTTCCATGTACTTGGCAGCTTTTGTGGTAGTTCTACCAAATATGCAATGAAAATTGATCCTCGTGAAATTTTTTGTATTATGACAAAACTTTCTCATTTTAAAAGTTGTTTTGAAGAGCCACACTATAGTTTTAAGACAACTTTTTTTTTTAAGACACCTTTACTGAAAATCATTCACTATTGGTATTTTTTAAAAAAACAAAGGAAAACACTATTCAAGTGAGCAATTTGGCTTCTATTTTTCAAATCACTACTTACTTCTCTTTTAAATATGAATTCTAAAAGCTGCAATAAATGCAGCACCTAAATCATAGTCTGATAGCCACATTCAGTGACTTAAAAGCTGCTGCTCAAAGAATGATTAGGAACCTATATTTTCTTTTTTTTTAATGGTCTTTTGTCACAGTACATATTGAATATATTTTATTAAACTCCAAAACAAAGCAATACTCAAATAGTTTCCTTTTTCCCTGCCGAGTTTTTTTATGCATGTAAGGTTTTTTCATATAAACTTAATATCCTGAAACACATGGTATTTAACTGTACCTGAGATTTTCAATGAAATGCATAGAAATCTAAAGCATGTGTCAGAGAAAATGAATATTTTTAGAAGTTTTCAAGTTTTACTGGTTTTTTTAACAGTAATAACTTTTGTGTGTGTATATATAAAAACATGTACATATACTTTATGCATACTACTTTATATTCTCTTAAATCTCTTAAAATGTTAACAGGTAGGATGACTTTTTTAGTCATCCCCTTTTTTTTCTTTTTATCACTTACCCACTTTTTACTGCCGAGTTGTTACAAATTCATAGCTATCCCTCAGTGGATTTTTGGAGACTGTAAATCACATAGGAAATTACCTATCTTTCTTCTTTGGGGCTGATGGTAGATTTGAACCTTCAGAGTTAGGTGAAGTCTCTGGGTTAGCATCATGACTCTCTATGAACAGCACTACGAGATCTCCCACTTTCTGTGTGGTGTTGTTATATACAGTTGAGTCAGAAGCTACTCATCAGTTGACCATCCAGCCGGATTTCAGAGAAAGTACATTACAAGGGAGGAGATTGCCCATCTTTTTCCCTTGGAGCTGCTGGTGGATTCAAACCATGTGCCCTTGGGTTGGCAGAGCAATTCCTCACCACTAAGTGGCCAGGGCTCTGTAATAAGAAACATAATTTCAAAGTGGCTGGTTGAGTTAGTCATACCTGCTTCCCCCCAAAATATAATCCATTCTGACTTGTAGTGACTTTGTAGGACAGAGAACTGTCTCAGGGTTTCTAAACCTGTGATCTTTATACAAGTACACTTCTATATTTTTCTCCCAGAGTTTATTATGCTGTTGTTTGTGTGCCTTCAAGTCAGAACCGACCCATAGCTGACCCTCTGGCAGCTTTTCAGAGTCAGTAAATCACACAAGAGGAGACTGCCCATCCTTCTCCTGCAGAGCAGCTGAGGGATTTGAACATGTCTTTGGGTTTACAGCACCACTTCTTACCATTAGACCATCAGAGGTCCATTTGTCGTGCTGTTGTTGGCTTGTGCAAGTGAGTCAGAACCAACCCACAGCTGATCCTCTGGTGAGTTTTCAGAAGCAGTTAATCACATGGAAGGGGATCACCCATCCTTTTCCTGTGCAGCAGATGGTAAATTTGAACCTTGTGCCTTCAGGATTGCAGTGCCGCTTCTTGCCACTAGGCTACCAGTGCTTCATGCTAGGCATGTATTATTACTTGGAAATGCTGCCCTAAACTTAGAATTCCTCACCTCTCTGATTTTCCAATATGACCCTAAATCTTCCTATATTCTTCACATGGTCACCATTTCAAAGGGCCCACAGTGACTTTTTCTGGGCATTTCCCCAAATGTTTACAGAGTGTGAGTACATAAGAAAACTTGTTACTGTATATAGATATAAATATATATAAATTTGTAAATGTCTCTTAGTCAATCTTTCTTTAGTTCTTTCTATGGAATGTATATGTGTGTGCAGTATAATACATGCATGTGTGAGGTGATGTGTATGGATTTGTTGTAATATAATACTACCATCCTTTAGTTGTGCCAAAACAGGTACTACAAGAGAGATCTGGGACATCTTCATCAGTTTCAACCTATGAGAATAATTTGCATTTATGAATTCTGTAAACATGCTGCCATTACAAATGGGAAGCCGCAGGAAACCAAGCATTGGACTAGCAATAGGGGTTTTCTTTATTTGGTTGGCTCTTTTGGTAAATTGGTGTTCCTTATTATATGTTGTTTCCTAGGCAGGAGCAAAAGCCATGCTCCTTTAGAGTGTTACATTGATCTCATCTGCAACTCAGAGTGGTGATGAGATTGACAAACTGCTGTTTCATCAGACATATTGCTGATGATATATTGGCTAAACTAATTTGCTAGGTCAAATTTCAGGACCGATATATATGTTATCAGACGCTGGCTGCTCAAAATTGAGAGGCTGAAAAATACCACCTCTCAGTGTATAAGCAGTCAAAACCCCCATTATTTCACTGATAAATCACAGACAGTGATGCACATCTGTGATGTAAGCCGTGGCACACACCATTCTGTTTAAATAATTATCTCCTTTTTAAAAAATGTTTTGGTTTTTGCATATGAATAACATATTTTTTTTTTAATTTCAGAAAGTTATCTATTTCTGAGTAATTGCACAGGCTTTCTTATACATGTTGTTTATGGGCTGGTAGGTGACCTGGGGTTTCAAGTAGAATCATTTCCCATGTCTACCTTAACCACCTCATCGCCACAAATGAACCTGCAGAAAAGAACCAGAAGTCAAGGCCCTGAGTTGGCAGTGGCCAATGTGTGTAAAATAAAAAAATTACAAAAGCCTTGAAAGTGTCTCTTTTAAAAAAAAAAAATATATATATATATATAATAAATTTTTTCTTTTATACTGGTTTGCTTACAGAGTTTGTATACGTTATTTTTCACACAAGATCTTTCCTGTTTCCTTTACTCATCCCTCCATCCATCCATCAAATTGTACAACCTCACCTGCCACCCCTCACTCATGCTTACCCCTCTGCTCCCCCCCTTGAATCTTCAAACACATTATATAATAATGGTCTTATACCATATTTGTCCTAATGGGACTGAGGTAGCTCACTTAGCATAATGCTCTCCAGTTCCTTCCAAGTTAGGCAGTGATTTACAAAATTATTTTTCCTGTGTGCTGTGTAGCATTCCATTGTGTGAATGTCCCATAATTTTTCAATCCATTTGATTGTGATTGGACATTTGGACAGATTCAATGTTCTTGTGATGGTGAATGCTACTATAAACAAAGCTGTACAAGTCTCTGTTTGAGCATCAGTTCTCATTTTCTCAAGGTTTATTTCAAGCAGTGGAATATCTGGGTCATATGGAATTTCTGTGTTCAGCTTTTTGAGGAAACAGCAAACTTCCTTTCAGAGTGGTTGTTTTGTTATACTATACCCTCAATAATGTGTAAGAGTTCCTATCTCAGCACATCTTCTCCAACATTTATTACTTGCTATCCTGTTAAATTTTGCCACTGCTACTGGAGTGAGATGGTACCTCATTGTGGTTTTCATTTTCATCTCTCTTACTAACAGTGATTTAGAGCATTTCTTCATGTATCTGTTGGCCATCTGAATAACTGCCTCTGTGAAAATTCTTTCCATATCTTTTGCCAATTTTGTAATTGTGTTACCAGTTGCTTTTGGGTTTTTGTTGTTTTGTTTTGTTTTGTTTTGTGGAGGCCCTGTAGGATTCTGTAACTTTTAATATGTGACCATTTCTGAAATAGTATTGCCAAATGTTTTTTCCCAATTGGTAGGTTTTCATTTCACTCTGCTGGAAATGTTTCTGATGTACACAGGAACTTAATCTTTAGAAGGTCCCATTCATCAATTTTATCCTCTCCGTATTAAGCATTTCTGGCCGTATTCGGCAGTCTCTTATATCATACATTAGGCCATCGAAGTCTGATCCCAGTTTGTCTCTGGTGAACTTTCTAATTTCAAGCTTCTTTAATTCCAGGTCTCTGATCCAGCCTGAATTGATTTTTGTTTATGGTGTAAAATGTGGATCCTGTTTTAGCTTTCTACAGGAAGCAGTCCAATTTTGCCAGTACCACTTGTTGAAAAGGTTGTCATTTCCCTATTTGATAGGTTTTATTTCCTTGTCGAATATCAGTTGACCATAGATAGGTGGGTCCATTTCTGGGTTCTCAATTCTGTTCCATTGGTCTATGTCCCTGTTATTGTACCAGTACCATGTTGTTTTGGTTACTACCACTGTATAGTAGGTTTTGAGATCAGGCAGTGCTATGCCTCCCATGTCATTTTTGCTTTTCGAAGTGCTTTGCTTATTCAGGGTCTCTTTACTCTCCAAATCAACTTCAAAATTTCCTTTTTAATCTCCTTAAAAAATTACTTAGGTATCAGGATGGCACTGAACATGTTGATTGTTCTTGGTAGGATTGTCATTTTGATAATATTGAGTCTTCCTATCCATGAACAAGGCATATTTTTCCATTACTGTAGGTCTCTTATCGTGTCTCACAGTAATGTTCTACAGTTTTCTTTGTTTTGGTCTTTTGTGTCTATGGTTAGGTTCACTCCCAAGTATCTCAATTTGTGATTGGCTATTGTAAACGGTCTTGCTTT